TCTTTCCGTGCACTGCTTCTCCGACGCCTCAGATCGGGCGATAGCAGCCGCTGTGTATGTCAGAGCCAGCTACCCAGACGGTACCACCCGAATAACGCTAGCGATGTCGAAAGCGAAGCCGGCACCAGTGAGGCGACAGACGATCCCGCAGCTTGAACTGAGAGCAGCTGTGCTTGGCGTTCGCGTTAGTCATCTCGTCGCTGAATCCATCGGTATCCCAGTGTCAGCTCACACATTTTGGACGGACTCGATGAACGTCTTGGGCTGGGTCCAAAGCCACAGCCGGCGCTACAAAGTGGACATTGGCAACCGAATCTCTGAGCTCCAGACCTCAACGAGAGCACACCAGTGGCGACATGTTCCCGGAAAGAACAACCCTGCAGACAAAGGTACTCGTGGTTTGTCTGCTGCATTACTGTGCCGTGACGCAGTGTGGTGGTCCGGTCCACAGTTTCTTCGCCAGCAGCCAGATGAGTGGCCTCAGATGAAGGAAGTCAGCACATCCTCGCTGCCTGGTCAGCTCAAGACGGCGCTAGTTGCAGTCGTCCCTCCACCCTCCGAGATCCTGGGTCGCTTTAGCACATGGTCGCGACTGGTACGCGTGACAGCATGGTGCAAGCGATTTGTGGCAAACTGTCGGCAGGCAGTCAGTGACAGCAAGTCCACGAAGGGGGATGCCGCATCGGACAGCCAGTCCAGCACGCCAGTGAGAGTGCCAGTACAGCTTGGCGGCACCCGCTCCATCAGTGTTCCAGTTCTCAGCACTGACGAAGTATCAGTAGCAGAGCGGCACTGGATTGCAACTGCCCAGAAGGATTGCCATGGTACAGCATACCATCGTCTACAGTCTAGGCAACCGATGTTGAAATCGGACCCTCTGGCACCTCTCTGTCCCCAGTTCGATAGTGCAACAGAGTCACCCCTGATGACGGTAGGAGGTCGATTGCAAGCTACAAAGAACATGCCAAGTGGCGTACGCCACCCAGTCATCCTACCAGCAAAGCACCGAGTAACCCAGCTGATAATCGAACAGGAAGATCATCGGTGCTTCCATGCAGTTGGGCCACAGCATCTTCTGGCCAATCTGCGACAACGCTACTGGATTGTTCACGGAACATCAACAGTCAAGGCCGTTCGAAGCAACTGCGTCACTTGCCGTAAGAACCGTGCGGAGCCAGCATCCCAGATGATGGGCCAGATTCCAGACTTCCGAGTTGCAGGCTCGTTGAAACCGTTCAGCCGTACAGGAGTTGATTACGCGGGTCCCTTCCTGACCAAGCAGGGCCGAGGTAAGACGCAGGCTAAGCGGTACCTGTGCCTGTTCACTTGCCTTGAGACTCGTGCCTGTCACCTAGAGGTATCCTATGGCCTCTCCACTGAGTCATTCCTGTTAGCATTTGAGAGATTCACAAAGCGCCGTGGTGTCCCGCTTGAAATGGTCAGCGACAACGGGACCAACTTCACTGCCGCGGAGCAAGAACTCCGTGAGGCCGTCCGGGCCATGGACAAGGAGAAGATCGAGAAGCGACTGGTCAGTGATGGCGTGCGATGGCGCTTCAACCCACCTAGAGCACCACATTTCGGTGGCGTATTCGAATCCCTCATCAAGATGGCTAAGCGCGGACTCACAGCAGTACTTGGGAAAGCGGACGTCACAGATGAAGAGTTAGTGACTGCCATGTGCCAGGTTGAGGGCATGATGAACTCGCGCCCGCTGACAGTTGTAAGTGCCGATGCAGCTGATTTGCAGCCTCTAACACCAGCACATTTCCTCGTCGGACGACTCGACCCACCAATGGCTCTGGAAGTGAAAGCAGACGAGCACCCCAGCAGTGACCCACGCAAACGTTGGTTGTATGTTCAACGGCTTGTAGCAGACGTGTGGAACAGGTGGCGAGATGAGTATGTTCCCTTGTTGAATGTCCGTCGTAAGTGGCAACGTCAAGGTCGCAATGTAGCCGTAGGTGACATCATGCTGTGTCTTACATCAAACACTCCCCGTGGAACATGGCCCATGGGTAGAGTCACAGCAGTGCATCCTGGTGCAGACAAGCTCGTCCGAGTAGTGGATATTAAGATCGGCGACAAGATCTACCGACGGTCTATCCACCATCTAGTACCTATTCTGGACACCGAGTAGTTTGTGCCTTGTGTATCTGAAGTGCTACAGGCAGCCCTGTGACAGTACTCTCTCTCTCTCTCTCTCAACCTATGAAGTTTTTCTTTCATCATACAGTACCATAGTAGTACTCACTCGTCACAGTTTGTTTGCTGACCCTGTGCTCGTGAGTGAAGGGGGATATGTTCTGGAATATTCCCAGCTTGTGGTGAATCTTGCATGACCTTTCATTGTACTCAGGTTTCATTTCTTTTATTCTAGTGCATGCTGCTGGCGCCTGATGTATTGACTATTGTTACCGCAGGCCAGTCTCAACCTTTGCATTGTCTGAGATTCAAGTAGCGTATCGTTTGATGCATGTGCTGTCTCCATGCTATCTAGTCGTAATATATTCACTCGTCTTTGCATTTGTGCACAGTCCTGTGGATACTCGCAGGCTGCGGTTGCGCTCTCGCTTTCGTCATTCTAGAATGTATACTTCCATGCCTTTGAAGTTTTTTAGTTGTCAGTTTTGAACTGTAGGAAGCAGTTTACAGTTTTGGTTCTTGCAGTTTTATCTCAGAGGAGAAAGTTCTTGGTCTCATACTGTTACGAGTTGCTGTTGTATCTGGTTGAACGCATGCCGGGGCAACAGAGGGCAGCATGAGTAGCCACATACACCATGGTGTGCGTGCACACATTTGCAGTGTCCCAGGCGAAGGGTACCAGTCAACCTCGTGAAAAACAACCCCGGGTGTAGCACCAACTACGACTCGTAGGTGGATAGCGCATAGTCTTCAGACCTGGTGACCATTAGACTGCATACGTTCAACCTCACAAATAACAAGAACTCGCGAATAGCGACACTTATCTAATGAGTAATGCACAATTGAGGGTGGTTATTCAGGAGGCTGATTGTACATTCACTGACACAAGATCCAGTCTTCAGTCTTCACCATACACTGCTATAGTATAGAGGCGATGCAGTTACACCATCAGTTGAGATGCTTTTGCGAAGTTGCAGAACAGCGCTGCACTTGCACTAGCGACTGATGCTGCATACATACATAGCGCTCATGAGCGGTTCCGCTGTATACTTAGCGCCCATAAGCGGTTCCGCTGACTCGCCCAGTGAAATCATTCGCACAATCTCTATTGCTCCTCTATGGAAACTCATCGCATCTGCAAAGTCTGTAGACAACCACTTTCCGTCCTTGTCGATCACATTTGTCTTCTGGTATGCATACTATACTGCATTGTACAATGTACAGTGTTGATGTCTGGTGCTGCTTTTTTTTACCGAAATTGTGATACTTCTTGATCCCGATGCGGATGTGGATAGGATGGAGGAACTAGACCAACCAGCTGATGTTGCATTATGTGTTTTTCATGTCCCAGCTCTGGGCAATTAACAGTAGACTGCTACGCTGCATGTATGACAACATCACACAAAGAAATCGGAATGTGTGTATTTCAATACAGGGTTTCAAACGGGAATACACATAATAATATTATGTCGATACCGCGTGACGCTTGTCACTGACACCATGCAATGCCGCTTGTTGTATTTGAAACTATTGTAGGCTTGTTAGCAAACCACAAACATGGTTTTACAACCAACTAAGATGAAATAAATGATTTAGCGCTCTGCTGTGTTACGCCGAAGATGCTGCTCGGACGCGCCAACTGGCCGCCGCCGCCAACACACTCCTCAAGATCTGGACCCGGAGACTCCAGATCAGTGAAGCTCTTCATGGTCTTACTCTAAGGCTCTATAACTGCTACGTCATCCCTGTTCTTACCTACACCTGCGGCACTTGGGGGCTACCGATGCCGGAGCTCGCGCAAATGGATTCGTTCCACAGGACCCAGCTAAAGAGCATCATCGACATGCGATATCCGAAAAGAATCAACAATGACACTCTGTACAAGCGCTGCGGAGCTGGCCCCATCAGCGAGATGATCACAAGGCAGCGCTACAGTCTCGCTGGCCAGATCTTTCGTTTGGCCCCAACTGCTCCTCCACAGCTGACAGTGGATATGTATCTTCGCTTGGCCAACGACGAGGGCACGGAACGTTTCAGGGGTCAACCTCGGACAACTTTGGTAACGGTCTTGCAGACGGAATTGTCATCATGGCATGGACTTTCCCTCTACCAGCCGCTAGATGCTGACGCAGTCCGCACAATGGCAGCGGACCGTCAGGCATGGCGTGGAGCCCGCCCCACCTAACAGGACTGATTGTCGTGATTCACATGATCCCGCCAGACATGTTGTATGTATGTATGTATATTCTATTTTATACTTTCGATTAAGTTTTCCATTAGGCCGATTGGTATTGTTGATAGCGGCTTTTGTTGAACTCGGATGGTGAGCCAAATAAATTATGTTGAAAAAGGAGAAGGACAAAATGTTACGAGCTGTCCACCAACGTAACCAGATCTTATACAGTCAGCGAGTGAGACAAAATGTTGGAGCTAGGTTTCAGGTCGCCGAATGTCTCAGTACTCCTTGTCAGTTTTGTGCCATTTTGTCGCACTCGCTGACTATATAAGATCTGGTTACGTTGGTCGACAGTTAGTCATAACTCGTAACTTTTTGTCCTCCTTTTTTAACGGCTTTTGTCAACGTCATTTCTGTCATTTCATTGTATTGTATTACTCTAACAATCCTGAATGGCATAAGCGAAAGCGGGGTTGCCATACTCGTCAGTGTTATCTGCGGGCTGATGTTGAACATATCACGAAAAATTGTATTATTGACTACTCCATAGCTTAGTAATGGAGCATCCCTTGGCTTCTTGTGAGTTATAGCAAAGGTCCGTTCAAGTCCTGGTATTGACAGTCGACTTTTGTTCTGACTTTTCCATTTTCAATTACTGCTTCATGTTTGTGTTGTGCAGGTGGGAAGCGTGGAAGTAAGACTTCCTCCACTACTGCACGCCATGCGGATATAGGATTGTATCAGAGTTTCTCCATCGAGCCTCTACCCAAGCAGAGAATCAGCTACGAGGAGAGACCATCTAGAATCCGCCGGTCATTTCGACGCCAAAGCTCCTTGTCGCTACATGGAAATGATGGAGGCGGCTACATGTCAGATTCTTTGCTGTCGCGCCGCAGCTCAAAGAGGTACCGTCAGCCGGTCGTATGGGATGAGTACCACATGCCAGCGGGACAGCGCAGCGGTGCTGTCTCAGCTGACGAAGGCGCTGGCAAGTACTACGCTCTAGCTCATCGGAAGCAATCACGCAGCCACTCAGTGGGACCTTCACCACTGCATCCACTACAAAACCAGCACGAATTTCCATCAGGATCAAGAAGCAATGTTGCCGGTGGTCCGAAAGCATCCTCCAAACCAAGTTTCCTCCCAATGATAGTCAACAATGACTTTTCGCCGTGCTGCAAGGGAGAGCTACCCGTTGAGCAAGGCCAGCACATCACGGCACTGTTCCGTCATAATGACTGGCTTTATGTACGGGCCCGCAGTGGTGCAGAGGGATATGTACCAATTCAATACTGCACAAGAGATCAGCGCTTTGCCAATCAAAGCAAGTCCACTATGTCTCTTAATCAGCAGCAACAAATACAAGAGAATATTCCAGCCTCTATGTCGCTACCAGCAAATTCGTTTCCCATAGCATCGTGCTCAGCAGCAGCGGCGGCAGCAGCAGCAACAGCAGCAAAACCACAGCCTTCCAGCACAATGCCCGTATCGGCATCCTCCAGGTCACGGGGCAGTTCATTGTCACATGATGTATTTTCACAACCCTCCCAATCCACAATGGGTGGAAAGGAATCCCACCGTACTTCGCTTCCATCCTTCAACAACAACTACTCTGGACAGGGATACAGTCCAGGGAAAACGCCAGGAAGGTCAACTCCGGGAAATTTCTCCACGGCTAGCACTTCTAACGTCTTCTCGACATCCTCGTACTCCGCTCGTCCCAGTGCCTACTCGCGTGCGACTAGCCGGGCGGCTATGAGTGACAGTGAGTTGGCAACAAACAAGCAGTCTCTCATGAAGCAGCAATCGCATTCACAGGCACAGGGCGCGGCACCAACACCACCAACGTCGAAGCCTCACAACCTATGCCGCTGTGTAGCTCTGTACGACTTTGTTCAAAGCCAGCCGACAGAGGTGACGATGCTGCGTGGTGAGAAGGCGTATGTGCTGAATTCTGATAACCAGCACTGGTTATGGGTGAGTTGCAAGGACGGAAGAAAGGGATACGTGCCCAGAAGCTTTGTGGTACTGGAAGACAGCTTGACCAACCCGAAGGTTAAAGGTAAGCTACGTTGAACCCAGATACTGAGGCAATATTTTGTGAAACCTAAGTCTCGTTTTTCAACTGTGATGTAATGCTATAATATTGTACTAATAGCTAGTGTTCAAACGGGTAGGCCGGGTAGCCAAGAATCCGCTCTCTAGATGACTTATATTGCCCAACGTTAGTCGGAGACTCAGTACCAACTGGAAGTGATAAATACGCATTTCAACATTTCACAGAAGTGCGAGCAGTTCAGACAACACGCGTGAACAACCAGTAATAACCTCCTGGAAGCATACCAAGTTCTTTAAAACGTCTGTGACACCATGGGTACCAGGGGGGAAATGTGACAAACCGCTCACAGAATTTGTTTGGGTGAAATACAAGTGTTTAAAGTGCGGCCTACACACCAGAAAATACGGTGCAGGGTAAAAGAGGGAAACAAATTGCTTTTCACTCACAAAGCGACTGTTCAGTACATGGGGTAGTGGTCTACCAGAGCAATCACACTCACCACCGTGGTTTTCCAGAAATGAGTAGAAGCAAAAAACCACACTCGCAGCCACATAGTAGATAAATAGCCGAAAAACATCTAAATCCATCAAAGAACCGCCAGCAAGCGGGAGAAAAGGCCGTGAAATCAAGTGAAACAGCATGGCCAGTGGTGAGCATGGGTGACTGGGCAGCAGGGGAGCGCCTGAAAAACAATGACTCCCTACATTCCTAGCCGCGACCGCTCAACCGGGCTAGAGGAAAAACACGCCTTTCGGCCAAAAAACCTTTCTATTTCATTAATTCCTGCCCCGCTGCCAGTCAGACCCAAGAATAGAGATTGCAAGAAATGGTATGTAATAACCGGTGTATGTCATAATCATAAGCCACACACATAGGCATAGATTGTCAAGAAGAACAGCGGACGACTCCCATGAAACCAGGGTGGGTGGGCGGGCAACTTCAACTACCACGAGGAAAAACAAAGACCACGATGGCAGGTTCAACGGAGTTGCGCAGAACAAGAGCAAATGCACGAAAATATTTGTGAGTGAAAAATAAGTTTTTTGCACTCTTTCGTTACGCTCAGCCGTGAAAGAAAAACTATAGGACGAAACGTGTAGGCATATCATATTCATGCTACGTGATCAGTTCAAACTTCAATGACAGAAACAACACCCTGGAATTTCTAAGATGTAGGCTGATTCTTGGGCCATGTCAGAGTGCGTATAGTGCTCACATGTACAGTAATAATTAGTCTGGTGCAGTGCTGTGAGCTTGGCTGGCTGTGAGCTTGGCTGGGCTTCTTTGGCTGGCCTTGTTCATGGTCATGGGCAAATTTCTTTACGTACGCTAGTAAATGACAGCACATTGCCATCCAGTACACCTTGGGGAGATCCGTTACGATTCTGTTGGGCTTGCATCAAGCTGTGTGTAATGAATCATGGTGAGTTTCAACTGTGTTGCAGACACATAACAGTGATGGTGGCACATGCTGGGCCTACAAGCAGAAATGTGATTGACAAGTTACGTTATTGTGTTCAAGTGCACCACACGTACTGTGAAATAGAAAGGGGCAACGGATTGTTTTGTTGGTCTTGGATCTGTCTTCAGATAACAATCGTCGTGCAGCTCATGGCAGCGACACGGAGCTACAACTAGCTCTTCGCGCAGAAACTCGACGTCGGACAAACGCAAGCACACAGAAGTCCATCAAACCGATCAGGCCATACTTGTCTGGGAGTCACAGTGACACAGGGCTATCCTCCGGTCACAGGTCGGCTAGCTTCCGCAGAGCCACATCCGCTGACAGCGTGATCTCACTAGCATCTCAAACATTCAGTGAAAGTGCTGTGGATGTTCCCAATGATCTCTTGGATGGAACTCTGGGAAAGACTGGCCAACGTGCCAGGTCTTTAAGCAATCCGAATCCACTGAAACGAGAGAATCGTTGGAAGCAGAATCCACTGTACAATACATCCAAAAAAGGTAAGACTCTGCCTACACCCAAGACGCACAGCACATCAAATGGTGTTGTTGTCCTGTGGGGCTTTGAAGCCCAGCGCCCGGGACAAGTATCGGTTGAGCGAAGCGAGTGGGTCAGGTTCGTGAAACCTTCAAAACAGGAGATGGACAAAGACTGGGTGAAAGTAGTCAATCAGAAAGGAGCAACCGGGTACATTCCATCAGCCTGCATCAAACCAGCACCAAGTAAGTGACCAGGGGATCATTTTGAGGAAAATAATGACAGAATTATTGTCCTAACAGTGTGGAAACAATACTTATACTCTTGTACAGCTCTACTAAAAATACTGTTGTCGTCGATCATTCATCAAATCATCCAGTGCTACCTATAATCCAATCGTCACAACCATTTTACATAGATATAATATAGCAACACAGAGGCAGTGTGCCTTAAACCTTCTTACACGTGAAGCAAATGGTGCATCAGTAAGATTATACCTTTTTAAACTTTCGTTAGAAATCTTATGCAATGCCTTCTTCATTTATCTTGGTGCTTTTCTCGACAAACTAAAGTCAGCTGAGTTGTGTTCGTGGAAACAATTCAAACTACGCAAAAATACACATTTCTCCAAATCCTAGCCCGGTACCTGGTATAATGTTAACATAACGTGATAAGGGTTCCGCTAAACCTGAGCCTATGTAATATATGAGAAGAACAGAGATGTCCTGATCGGCTTTGCATGCTCTTTCATTGGAACATTTCCCCTCGTTATACTTATGATTCTATTTCACAGTATCGAGTGCCAATTCTAACGTTCCGAAAGCTGCACCATGCAACAGCCGCTCTGTGTGCTGTGCTCATGGAACTATGCACCACATTCTTTGAATTATGCATATCCATAGCATATTGCATACACACGGGAAGGAGCGCATTTTGAAGGTTAATGAGCTGCATAGTGCTTGTATGATGAAGTAGAAACATCTGCTCTCTGCTGATACATGTACACCTGATTAGACGATATAAAAAATGCCATCTGAGTCTTATAATAAAAATGTTTTGTATAATTTGTATTAAAATACTTGAATGTTCTGCCTGCAAACCCGGCTTGTGTTTTGTGCCGAAGATAATGGAGGAAGTGTTACTCAGACAATACGACATACCGCGTGAGTATGCAACGAAACGTTATGTGTAGTAGCTTTCCTTCAGTGCAGCCAGAAGACGCTCCAGTCCTCCGCTCAAGTAGCCTGCTGCACTCTTGACCCTACCTACTCCCCCTGCGAAGAGGGAGCCAGCCTCCTGGTTCTTCGTCCTCGTCTCGTAGTCTTTCAGCCAGCCGGACTTGGAGAGGTCATGGCGATGGCGATGTGCCAGTAGCTCAGTCATGTAACGCATCTTACCAGCCAGGTAGGAGACAAACAGCCCCGTGCTGTGTTGACTGCAACCATCTGGAAAAGACGAAGAAAATGGAGGCAATGAAAGGAGGCAAGATCCTGGCTCCGTGGATAGTCACATTTCGCTCTATGGAAAAAAGTGCAATTGGAGCTTGGATTCTATGTTTCTTCAGTAGTTCATTGGACAGTAAGGGTCTTCCGGTAATGGCCACTTCGTGATACCTTATACTGCAGATCATGAAACTACTTCTACACATTTTATTGCTGTCTCGTAAGCGACGGCGCCAACATTATGCATGCAGACTTCTTGAAGTTGCAAGAACTTGCAAATGTATCCTTCATCTTTTGCATTTGTTTCAATTGCATTAACGTCATGAGTTGCAGAACTGCCACTTAGATCCTAGGACAGGCTGTTATGTTGACTTAGCTTGCCGCTACAAGAATGGCGGCCAGATCTGATTTTGAGCCACAATTTTGGAAATTTTAGGATGAGCATTGGTGTGAACTTTTGCCAAAGTTTGGTTCCCGGCATCGGTGACAACCGGCGTGCCCGGTTCACATACTGCTTTTGGTCCAAATTGTACAGGATCGGTGCCGGGGCAGATCGCTTTAAAAGTTTGCCACTGATCATGTTTGCCAGCCCTCATCGCCAATGATTCACCGTAGGATTTTTGTACGCCGGATTGCAATGCTTCACATAAGTGCAATCCGCTGGGAGAGGTTGCAAGAGGCACTGCCGTCTCCGGCCCCGGTGTGTACCAGAGATATGTGAACTAACCTCTACTCAGGTACTTACTAAGCGAGTTCCACCCTACTTCATTAGAACAATGTTACTGTATTGCCATGGGCCGTCTTTTTAACCTGCAGCTCAACTGCATGATTGTACTACAAACAACGGTAAACTTAAAAAAGGTATCTCTTCAAGCTCGTGGCAAAAGTGTCCACTCCACCAACTAACTTATTCAGACACCCCTCCCTCCCTTGCTACTTACCTGGCATTTGCCTATCATACATAAGTTTACGTCCAGTTGCACGACTTCTGTAGGAAACAGTAACGACAAGTTACATACTGTAAGTAAACAAATATTCGGCGCATATTTATTTTCGGCTATTTCCGGCCTGGTCATATTTGGCCGAAAATTTGTTGCGGCCGAAATTCTGTTTTGCGAGGTTCAGTGTGACAATGTAGACAGTCAGCAGCAGCAGTACAGGCAGTTTTGTAAGACAGGAACAAAGAGGCCTGTTTCTGAAATACGCCAGTTGCTGATCTGGACATCATAAAAGAAGCAGTTGGTCAAGTCAATGTGAACGGTGCAGTCGTACAAATTCAAATAATGTCACATGACTCACATCAGCTACCTACTTGTACAGTCCTGCTCAGTGAAACCGGATCGCGAGAGTCGAGTAAGCGCAGGGCAGCGCTGTGCAGCCCTATACCTACGACGGTGACACTGGGATGTGAACAGGTGCAGGCAGGGAGCCTCAACTTGATTCACTCGATCGGATTTCATTGAGCAGCACTGGAGATTTACTTTTTAAAACTGCACTTGCACATGCTGCCATGTATTCTATTGCCGGGTAAAGTAGGAGGGAGAAGCAAATATTAGCATCAACCCTGGGCTTCATCACCGTGACTAGAATAACTGATCAGGTATGAAATCTCTCATTCACGGTCCACTGGAGCATCCCACTTGATTCACTCGATCGGATTTCATTGAGCAGCACTGGAGATTTACTTCAACTGCACTTGCACATGCTGCCATGTAATCTATTGCCGGGTAAAGTAGGAGGGAGAAGCAAATATTAGTATCAACCCTGGGCTTCATCACACTAGAATCACTGAGCAGGTATAAGATTTCTCATCATCCACTGGAGCATCCCACTGGTATTATTCAATTGTAAAAACAAAGTGGCAATGCTGATCTCTAGAACCATCCACTTCAAGGGAGCTGAGTACAGTGTATCACAAACCTTGACATGGTAAATTCACTGATTTCCCGGGCGTGCCGCTTGCTCCACTCAGCGCGTTCATCAGCCGAGACTTCCTGGTCTACATCATACTTCACCAGGTCTTCACCGGCATTGGCTGCTATGCGCCTTCCATCGTCAAGGCAGCCAAGACCGGTCTGGAATTGAAGTGCCTTGGCAAGCCATGCATCGGGAACCATTGCTGGGTAGCCGTAATACGTACAGATTGTTCCTTGCTCCAGAAATATATCCTGCGCTATGGAATCTATAGGTTCCTTCGAAGCTTCGCTATCCGACACCGTCTTGTTCATCTCAAGGTACACATTGGCGCAGCCAACGCTGAATAAATGCCGCATGGACGTAGCCGTCTTCACGTCGGATGGATGCTCCTTGGCCAAGACACGCAGGGCTTTCTCGTAAACCTCCTCACAACCGAGACTGAGAGATAGCTGTGCAAAGAGCAGCTGATGAGTTAGTACATATCCCTTAGTTCGTGCTCCTCTAGGCTCCAGCATGAAATGCACGCAGTCTGGGGATAAGGTACACCTTCTCTGAGTAGGCCCGGTGCCGATGATCTCACTCATGCACAGATCGCTGCTCTCCTCGGTGAAATCCGGCTTCTCCACTCTGTCCAACACCGGCGTGGAGAGAAGCATATTGGGTATATGTGACAGTGAAAAGGAAGCCATTGGAGCCTCCAGAACGTAGCCCATTCTACGGAAGTAATCGCGCATCTTCGGTGACTTGCTATGCCTATTGGACTGCACTCCGACAGTCACTAGATTATCCACATTATCAGCCAGCGATACGAATGATCTCAGCTCCTCCTGCGGGAGAGGCGGCCGATCCATCTTCTTTAGAAAACTCTCCATTGCTCTGAAATGAACTGCACAAACAACAGCGACCATGACAGAAGATCGGGAATAATGAAAAAGAGTCTGCAGCAGGGTATCGGAAATTGCACTTCCAAGTAGGGTTATACACATGATAGACCCTGGTGCCAGCTCCTGTGGGATGGTACGGCCCCAAGTAGGCCCCAGGACCGATTATTTCCCCCATGTCCAATTTCAAGTTCATATCCTGGGAGGATACATCTCTAGCTCAGTGCATCACATGTTCATTACATACTTCCAGATAATCAATTGCATACTGAGCAGCCAACGATGAACACTGGAGTAGGTAAACACTGGTACAGCCATGGCCGTACCAGCCATACCAGTGACGCCAGCCGCTGCCCTGATGGTGCACTGTAATGGTTTGTTCATGCATGATGTGTACATGTATTGCATGTATTCACTACATTTGCATCACATGCTGCTGCTTCATTCCTGTATTCTATGTACCGTATTTCCCCAATTATAAGTCGTACCTTTTTCCCCAAAAATCAGGGTAAAAAAGGGGGTGTGACTTACAATCGAGCGTGACTTACTACTGAAGTGAATATATCACAACAATATTGCTTAAACCTGAAAATGGGGGTACGACTTATAATCTGGGAAGTACGGTACATAGTGACATACATCCCAAGAAATGCAACAATGGAACTTACATGCTACTTTTTTTCTTCTTTTTTAAGTATCACCTGGCAACTGATAAATCTCAAAACTCAGAGTCAAAAGGGAATGTATCCCGTCTGTAGCGGCTAAATGTATTGGTGACATGAAAGCGCTAGGTTGCAGAGACGCAAGGTATAATCATTACCATGCTCTACATCCCGCAAGATGTGATAATACTGCAAAGCACTCGAGCCAGGCACTGAATCGTCAAATTCCGCATAGTTCGTGTAGTCAGTACACTGTCGAATGCACAAACAAAAGACCCCTCTTTCTTCTCCTCATGCACAAATACACACACACACACACACACACACACACACCATTGGACCATTGGACGTCCATCGCCGGAGGCGATGATAGCGATGCTACAGCAGAAGCCATAGCAGCTTGTGCTGGGATTGCACCATTCAACAGCTTGCAAGGCCGAACCGCCACTATTCAGCCTGGTCTACACCACACAGCTATGAAGTGGCTTTTTTCTGGCCAGTGAATCCCTACTTTTTGGTCTTTTTCATTTTTTTCATTCACACACACACAAGCACTCACTCGCGCACACGCAAATCCACACTTCACGGTCTTGGGTTGTTGCAATGTCGATTCTTTATCTGCAATGTCTACTTTTCGTCCAGGACTTCTACTACTAAGTAAGTAAGTTCTAGTGCACTACATTACTATGCTGCATAATGCATCCCGTATCCCCCCCCCCCCCCCCCCCCCCGCGCCCTCTCTGACTCTGAGTGTCTCTCTCTCTCCCTTCCCTCTGACAATCTGTGTTCTTGTTTCACAGTTGCCATTATTCGACGAATCGTTCTGTAAAGGACAAGAAAAACACCAGCTGTGCCATTCTCATGCTAGTCATGGCAATTACCTTGTGCTATTCTCATGCTAGTCATGGCAATTACCTTGTGCTATTCGCAATGCGTACACTCCGTCCAGTGTGATCCTGTGAGAATGCCGGACAAAAAAATTCACTGCTCGACCCGCCGCTGTCATGTACTCATTGAGCTTCGACAACCGGTCATTGGACGCCGCCGTCTTCGCCGATCCCGCTGCGGTTGCTCCTGGTTGTGCTCTAACTTTGAGCAGCAGCATGGTTAGAAGGATGAGCAGCGTGCTCACTAACAGCGATTGCCGCATCCTTTGATTTCGGGAACAGCGACCACAAACAATTCGGCACCTCCTGCTACTACTACTAGTCCTCGTAATCATCAAATCATTGTTGCAATGGAGCAACCCGTGGTCAACGGATCTCCCTCTCAAACCTCGACTTGGGTAACTGTCCACTGCTGCAAGGCCTTATCTCAGGGCGGAAATCCTGGGGGTGATTAGAGACTATTCATTTTACTGGCTTTTGTTTTTCCAAAGACTGTTGTTGTGTTTTTGCAGCCAACGGACTTTAGTTCTTCATGCAGATCCCTGCTGGTATCAGATCACGCGTGCAACCTAGTACCTAGGCTACAGGCCGTATCGATGTTTGGCAGCTCACTGAGCATGATGATGAGCTCAGTACTGCTGATGGACACTGTCTTGCACATCGTGTCGCGCGAGCTGTGCGAGACTGCCAGATACATGAGTAGTACAAGACAATGAGCTCCCCACGCGGGCAGATTCCTTCCGTGAAGTCAGTGACATGATGTAACGTCTGTACCGTAGCTAGCTAGCCCAGGAGTTCCTCGGCTCTAGGCTAGCCGTCTAGGTAGATCTACTTCTGGTGAAAATGACACCAGATCCCTGACCATGCTGACTGTTGAAAGCAGAGGCAAATCCCAAACCAATACAAGGCCCTTGCTTTGGCCTGGGTTTGGGATGAGGTCCGCGATAGTAAATATCGGCCAGGTAGCCCTTGGCGGAAAGACTAAGATGCTCGAACAATTGGCAGATTCTGCTAGAAAAGCAGTGAAATTGGCAGAACCATGCAAACCTTATGACAGGAATTCCTTGCTCCATTTCTGTATCCACATACCAAACATGCATGAAACATACCAGAAAAAGCACCAGATTCTGCCAAATATTTTTCTGCCGGCATATCCACCAAAGGAAAGGAAAGGCAACTGCCAGGGCTGTGTTCAGTATGGAATCGAGCATGAGTACGAGGACGAAAGTGCGGAATCGGAGCCCGACGCGCGCTAGCGCGGAGGGCTCCGATTCTAGCACTTGAGTCCGAGTACGAATGCTTTGATACCATTTCTGACATGCATTGCACGAACTACTTCGTACTACTAGTACTACTACATGTAGTACTTCACACATACCTAGTACCTACTCAAGGCACGCACACTAGACCAGACAAGGAACACAACTAGTCGCCAGTTTAGTACTTCAGACAGGTTACATAATGACTAATGTACACAGTCACAACACAGAGATAAAACAAGGGCGGTCTAGTCAGCTAAAAACCAGGTCAGTTCAGCTTCTCTTCTTCGCAGTGACTACACCCTACAGCCTACAGGTGCAGGTGAACATTGCAGTTTGCACCAAACTGAGCTCCGGAAAAGTTGATGGTCTTCGTAGCTTTCTGCATCAGAGACCGTTGGTGAGTTGGGGATTGCACTGTTGGGTCACAAGTTGCGATGTACTCATCAATGTCGGGATCGTGGAACTCAGTCTGCTGCTGTGATCGCTGAACGCTCGTTGTTGGCGCTGTAAGAGCACGGGTAGCAGCATTGGTTGCAGTTGGAAAAAAAAAAAAAGCGGCCTCTGATGGCTGAATCGGAGCACGCCTGGGCGTGCTCCGATTGGAAAATCGGAGACCTGCCAGCGCTCACAGGTCTTCAGTGGCTGATTCAAAGCACGGCAAGTCGCGCTAGGATTCGCTGTTGCCATGTCGATTGTCATGTGACATGTCAGAAATGATAATCACCACATGTGCAGACTTCGGGGCCTCGGTTTGTATACAATCATGTACTTGAGTCTCCAATCGGGATATTATCGTATTAGGATTATTATTATCGTATTAGGATTCGAAGGTTCGAAATACATAGTATCACTAGATCTGTGCATGAATGTGCTAAGACATACATGTACAACATATTGCTTTTAGCGCTAAGATGGGAGCGCGACAGAAATACAATGTAGTTCCATTCGTGTCAGCCGTATGGGAATTTCATTTGTAGGCCTACAATTGGTCTACAATTATAAGTGGAATTTAACTCGGATACTGAGCCGGCAATAAAATGTAAAATAGAGGAAAAACATAAGGGAACGAGTTATGAAGCAACTATCCTCGACTGTAACAAGGTAACACGGTAATAAGCAGTCAGAAAATGCGATAACAGGGCGCGAAACTGACGGTTGAATGTTTCAGTAGCCTGTCGAAACTGACCGCTGAATGTCTCCGTAGCCTGTCAGTTTCGTGCCCTGTTATCGCATTTTCTGACTGCTTATTACCTTGTTACAGTCGCGGATAGTTGCTTCATAACTCTTTCCATTTTGTTTTTCCTCTAATTTACAAATTTTAAGTGGCATAACAGTTACACATTGCACTCTACTAGTAACTGACTGGCATTTGCAATGTAGTCGTGTAGATTAGGGCAATAGGGAACACGAGCTCAGCCCTGACTCAGTCTACGCTGTACGTATACTCGTCCACGTATGCAGTAACGTTACGTTACTTCGTGGAACTGTTTACTTGAACACCGGGGTTACGCCGCTTGACGGGCATTGTGCCAGTGCCAGCTGGGCTGGGTTTCAGGATGTGGCTGTCTATCATCTTCTTGCACGCGGAAGTCGGGTGCAAGAGGGAAAGCTTTCCCTCTCCGCCTTTTGTAACCTGCATGCACGTTTCCAGCAATCCTGGCATGTATTTGAACAACTACTGAACTAGAGTAACGAATGCTGTATTATACACCATTATTGACTCGACTCAGTGAATCAAAAGGCAGCTCTACACGACATCCGTGGCAAGCTGGCTAACTACCTTCATGATTCAAACCGGGTTACTTCCCCTTTCTTCAGTCGTGTCTTTGTCCTACAGATTTTTCAGGCTTTTTCTTTACACAGCCCCTGCACCACGCCATTGCTGACAATGGTGCTGCTCAGATTTATCCTGCACACTTACACTGGCGAGACCAAACGACAGGATTGTCACGTGCAGATCCCGGGCTTGGTGTTTAAGGAATGATTCATGACATTGGGCAAACAGTTTTGCTTGACTCTTCCTTGTCCACGACTATCCATGTACAAGTAATGCAACAACAAAGAAAGAAAGTGAGGGAGGGAGTGCGGGAGGGAGTGAGGGAGGGAGTGCGGGAGGGAGTGAGTGAGTGAGGGAGGGAGTGAGGGAGAGTCATGCCATCTGGTTGCCTGATGGTCGTGAACGTGAAACTCGAAGTCTCAACACAGCTTCCTATGCCTCTCACTCACTCACTCACTCTCTCTCTCCCGCCTTCCCTCCCTCCTCTCTCCCTCCCTCCCTCCTTCTTTCTCCCTCCCTCCTTCGCTCTCTTTCTCTCGTGGGGAGCTCTGCCCTATGGGCATCGAGCGCTCTTGATTAATTGTTTGATCGATTCTTATTTAAGGATTGGCCAAAGGCTGTGGGAGCCTATCGAGGGGCTCTTCTGTGGAAGGAAAGATGAAGTAAAGTAAATAAGAACTCAGATGGTGAGCCAAGGACAAAATTGTAACATGGAGCTGGTGGACTCGATCGCATAACTTGTGCCCACATTTTTCCATGTTATAAAGTAAATATAGTAAGGCTCGCACATCCCCTAGGCTAGGTTGTTCGGGCAGTTGAGCGTCCCGCTTGATTACAAGTACAGGTTCTCATGGTTATATGAGCCGCTCATCGTAACTTCACACTCTACACCATAATTTCATGGAGAGACGAAGTCCGAGATGAGTCCAATGCCCCCTTCTGCACAATAATATTGCATGTACCGCGAGTCAGCCACCTTTCGTCATCAGACTGAATCAGCGCTGATCGTATGAAGTGTCTGAGGCAAAAGATAGTAAAAAATAAGTCGGTCCGGTGTGGGCAGCAGACCTCTATAATAATTACTTCGAAGTATTATTATCACTGGCTCTTTTACCAACATCAGCACTCATTTAGGTCACGGTTTATTGTCAAGCTTTTGTGTTCAATCTTACATTTCAATTGAGTGTTCTATTTATTTCCGAATTTGGGTTGTCTTTTTGCATTGGTTCTTACTTCATGGTTTCACGTTATTGTTGTTGTGAATAAACCTGTTCTCATTAGCACTCAGCAGTCAGCACGGGAACAAAGTAAAGTAGTTCGCACATCGTATCCGCGTTACCTCAGTATTACTAAGAAGTAACAGGCAATGTGTGAGGAACATCACCAGCTACAGACGTTTGGCTTGTGCCAGGCCACCCACCACCACCAAGCCCATGCCAGAGAAATGAAGCCTTTGATAGTTTGAAGGGCAAGGACTAGGTGGCAGATCTGAGATGTAGCATCATCATGCCTTCATCATTATTTTCATTTTTTTTATTTTTTTATTTTTTTTTTTTTCATGGTCATCATGGTCACCAGGCCGGGAGTCGTGAAAATCCCACTCCCAGGTTTTCGCGACTCCCTGGTGACCATGCCAGTACTATTGGCAGTAGTGCCATGTGTAGTGCCAGCAGTACGCGTAGATCGTCACTACTGGTATCGACCAGGGAGTCGTAAAAGCCCGGGAGAGGACACGGGATGCGCGCACGCGGACGATGTTTGCCTCGGCCAGAAAGTGAAGCACGCTAGGCCGGCGCGGCCGGATCTGCTCGATCCACGGCGCTGTGCTCGTCTTCAGGGCAGGAGTCCTAAAATACCAATATTTTACAACTCGTTGTTGACACCATTATCCGAAACTGGTGGCGAAGGAAGCATAAACATGATTGTGTGTCTGTCTGTCAGACTCAGTACACATGGTACAGGGGGTGGGGAGTTGAGTGTGTGTGTGTGGGGGGGGGGGGGGGGGGGGGGAGGAGGCGTGTGTAGGTGCACATGTGCTTGTACTTTTGTGTGTGTTTGTACAGTGTTTGTGTGTGTGTGCGCATTTTTGTGCACAATTCCGTTATGAAGTACAAATGATAGGTTTACCTTTTGTACACTCGCCAAGACTTCGGTTAGATTCACTGAGAACCTTTCTGGCCAACCTGGAGGCTGAGCCTTCCGTTTCCTAAACGGCTAAAGTCACCGCCGGAATCGAGTAGAAAAGTGTTCAAATTATCAAGATTTATAAATAACGACCTGCAAGTTGCAACCATGTACAATGTAGATAGATAGGGAACACACATTGATTGTTTTTAAAAGAATCCAGGCAATATCATGAATCATGGAACGAGTGTAGTAATAATGCTCTATGTTGCGTTTTGACGATGCTGAAGGAAGGGAGCCGTTGCGATTCACTCACAACACACACGCACAGAAGTCCATTCGACTGCAATTTAAAGGGGAAGTATACCCTAAAATCAAATTTTCACCAGTTGTAGTCTTCGGGGTGCTGAGTCGAATGGTCTTGGTCCGAGGAAGCTGCGACGCTCCCTTCCTACTTGAATCCCAATCGAACTCGCGCACTTCCACCGAAACTGGGTGACTGCGCCCTACTAGATGGGGATTTGTACGCAAAATGTCACTAAAAGCGCCATTTCGTTCTTATAAAAGCACGGATGACCGCGATTGGCCCATATGTTGTAGTCTTTTGGACGCTGAGTCGACTGGTTTTGGTCCGAAAAGGCTGCGATGCAGCGTTCCTCCTTTATTCCCAATCGAACATGGTTGAACAAGCAGTCACGTGCTCCTGGGTGCCCAAATCACCTGGTCACCGCGCCAGCAGGCGACAACTTTCACACCAAGGTTCAACTCGAGTTCAACTCGAGTGACAGGACTGCACCTAAAAAAGGTCAAACAGGCTAGTAAGTTAGTTGTACCCTGCAGGCACGGTGACCAGGTGACTGGTGTACGCAGGAGCACGTGACCGCTTGTTCAACCATGTTCGATTGGGAATAAAGGAGGAACGCTGCATCGCAGCCTTTTCGGACCAAAACCAGTCGACTCAGCGTCCAAAAGACTACAACATATGGGCCAATCGCGGTCATCCGTGCTTTTATAAGAACGAAATGGCGCTTTTAGTGACATTTTGCATACAAATCCCCATCTAGTAGGGCGCAGTCACCCAGTTTCGGTGGAAGTGCGCGAGTTCGATTGGGATTCAAGTAGGAAGGGAGCGTCTCAGCTTCCTCGGACCAAGACCATTCGACTCAGCACCCCGAAGACTACAACTGGTGAAAATTTGATTTTAGGGTATACTTCCCCTTTAAGTGCAATTTCTGACACAAATTCATAACTCCACGAGTACGAGGATGCTCAGCGGATCTCCACAAGAACTTTCGCCCATCACCTGCAATGGAATATGGGCTGTATGATACGACTAGCGGCTAACATGGGAAGTGGCTTCATTTCCCACAAATCTCGTTTCATTCACAACCATTTGGCTGCAATTTCAGTGCAATTTCTGCCACAAATTCAACTCCACCGAGTACGAGGAAGCTCAGCGGATCTCCACAAGAACTTACTTTCGCCCATCAACTGCAATGGAATATGGGCTGTATGATACGACCAGCGGCTAACACGGGAAGTGGCGTCATTTTCCACAAACCTCGTTTCATTCAGAACCATTTGACTGCAATTCAGTGCAATTTCTGCCACAAATTCAACTCCACGAGTACAAGGAAGCTCAGCGGATCTCAACACGAACGTTCGCCCATCACCTGCAATGGAATATGGGCTGTATGATACGACCAGCGGCTAACACGGGAAGTGGCGTCATTTTCCACAAATCTCGTTTCATTCACAACCATTTGATTGCAATTCAGTGCAATTTCTGCCATAAATTCAACTCTACGAGTACGAGGAAGCTCAGCGGATCTCAACACGAACGTTCGCCCATCACCTGCAATGGAATATGGGCTGTATGATACGACCAGCGGCTAACACGGGAAGTGGCGTCATTTTCCACAAATCTCATTTCGTTCACCCCAACTCAAATAAAAATTGAAGTACAAGATTTACTAGTCTTGCATTTCCAGCGCCTCAGAATAAATTAACTTCGATAAACTGAGAGAGAATGAGTGAGGCAGCTGGAAGAATTGAGGATGAAAATAGAGATCAGATGACTCGACGGAGCAATCGTCTCCGTGCTCTAAGAGAAATCGGAGAATGTCCCAATTAGTATTTCAAGAAGACATCACAATTTTCGAAAATAATAATTTCCTTGCCTCGCAACACCGTTCCCTGGCAGCGTTCCCCGGCAGCGCGAGGCAAAGATGTTTTCTGGGAATGTGTGCCGTGTCCTCTCCCGGGCTTTTACGACTCCCTGCTTGAAAGCGACAAAATGAGCGCCAGTTTTGAACCAGTGCGCCGAGTCTGTGCAGCTCAGTGTCACTGTCAGTACAATACTTCCTTACACTAGTAGTAGTAGTACTAGTAGTAGTACACAGGTACAAGCAGTACTGCAGTGTCAGCGCTAAGTAGTGACTGAGTGTCAGTAGTGCGCACATGCACAGCTAAAAGTCTTGAACTCGCAGGCGAATGTGTTACTCTTTTTCAGTTTAGTTTGTTGTTGACGAGATAAGAGCTTGAGCATTGGGTGTCCCAGGCTCGCGGAGCAGAGCATGGCCCAGTTACCGGCTGAAGCTAACATTGGCAAATTTCATGAAGTCATTGTGAGTGGCGATATACAGGTGAGTTTGGCCTTCTGGCAGTTCTGCTTAGAGTTAGACCTGTGCAGCTAGTGTTTGAATGGTAGTCTCGAGTCGGTACCGTAGCCTACACTGCAGAGTCGCTTTGGCAACAAATCTCTAATGGGCATAATCATGTTTGTAGTCAACCAAGACTGAGTTGGCAAGAGTCAATGTTGAATGAATCGGCAACACCGTGCATTCAGCCTCACCGAAGAGGCCCCTTTGTGGTTTACCAGGAAGGAGTACATTAATGATTTGCTCCGTCCTTGGCCGTTTCAATGGAGCACTGTGTTGAAACAGTAATTCTGCCATACGAGACTACATTGTACCTCTACTCGAAGACCAGTCTGTCACCAGACTATGTTTGAACATCATGTAGATCGGCATGTCGTCCCTACATCCTTTTCCTCGTTTCTTTCTCCACCTGTTTCCCAGTAGGGCTGTGTTAATAGTATAAAAATAAATTATAAATAAAATCTACCAGTATTTGTGTGCTCTTGTCTTGCACTGTCTCAAATGTGTGACTGCCCGGCACCAGGAGTTGATCAGGCAAATGCGTGGCAAGGACAAAGCTCTCATAGCCACCTCAGTGTGCGGAAACGGACACACACCACTGGAACTGGCTTCTTTCTGGGGTCATCTTGAGATCATGAAGCTGCTGATAGCTGAGGGGTAAGTCAGTACTGTTGAGATGCTACACATCTCCAAGTACATTCTCCATACCATTGGTAAAGTCGTGTTATAAGGGTATTGCTCTTCGCTCAACTGTTTCAGGGCCGATGTCGATGAACAAAGTCCGGTTTCTGGCAACACCCCGCTGCACTCTGCTGCCCTTCAGAACCATGCACGTGTTGTCAAGTACTTGCTGTTTAACTGTGACCCTGCCGCATGCATGGACATCACAGATAATGCTGGAAGGTAAGCAGGCTAAATATTCCCATGAAAGCATAGAAGTATGGATCTGTGAAAAGTGGTTCAGTCGGCTTCTTTGATCACACCAAGCTGGCTTTACGCGGCTTGAAAGTGTCAATTTAGTTCCTGATCACTTTGGAAAGGTGTGTAGCTTAGTCATGGCTTTGAGAAAACTTTTTCCATGCTGCCAGGCTCGACCCGATTTTTCTGTGCTGCACTGATGCGCCTGAGACAAACCCGGCGCTACTGTAATTCTGAGGTATGCCTCCCACAGCTTCATGTTACATGAGTGTAGGCAAGTTGCCTATGAATGAATTACAAATAAGGTGGAACAAAATTGTTGTTACTGAAAATCCCCTTTGTGAGCAGAGACTTAGATGTACTGTGTATTTCAAAAATTATTATTTTCCAGCTGGTGATAATTATGTAAAATCTGCACACTGTATTCAAGACTTGAAGATGACAGAGTGTAAGTGAATCTATTTCGAATTATCTTACAATATGACATGTGGTACGATGGGAATCTTTCTCATTCTCATTCCAGCATGTGGTAATGTAGCGATACTGGTTGGTTGTATATAATGAATACAAGATACGTTGTCTGATGATCGGCAGGCTATTGCATGAAACTCTGAGTTCCAATAAAGTGACAAAGTTTCCAGCCATTGTGTAGGATGTGTGTACAATGATTCTCTATGCTTTGTAGAACAGCAGCAGATTATGCCATGGTCTCAGACGCTCTTTGGCCATTTTTTCAAGGTGAGACGTGAATCATGTGCATGGCTGTAAGACAAATCTACTGAGGCAGTAGGTCTCAGAATATTGTGGTTTACAACAATTGAGCCTTCATGCGCTGGATTGTCCGTACATATCGTTATGGCAAGAGTATACATTATATGCATCCCCCTAGGGCGTGCACCTCTGTTGACATGTGTGTGTGTGTCTGACAGTGGAAGTCGTAATCACATGATTAACCACTACGCACGGTGGTACTATGTACATAGCGCTGGATGGATCTAGTTATGGTGTTGCTCATCGGGGTCATATTTTCCTTCTTTTTCCCACCTTGCATAACAGCTGCTGGCTACAAAGGTGTACGGAGGCCCAAGGGGGAATTGGTAGCCCTCGGCATCGCATTCCCAACTCATGTGAGTATCAATTATTCTTCCTTTCACGGCCAACGCGACTGGCGTATGTGTGTGATGGGGGGGGGGGCAGGTTAAAGGGGGTACCAGTATTGGTAAGCTAGTTACTAGCTGTTTCTAGACGCCCAGAAAACCACCACACAACCTTTCCAGCCTACAAATACCCAAAGGCAGTGCACTCACTTTGCTAGTACAGTCATAGTGTTTTGGCAACACGTGGTTGTGGTTTATGATGGACGATTGACACTCTTGAGCCGATTTTCGAATTCTTTATTGTTCCCTAGGCCGGGCCCCATTGCAATTGGTTAGGCCAGTGACTCTGAGCTCTGCTAATTCACCAAACAAGGCTAAGCCAGCTAGCTGACAATAGTTAATGAATGATGAGTCCACAAAGGATGAAATAGTTCTGTACGAAGAGGGAGTATTTCGCTCCTGCTCTTGTAGTAGTTCGGAAACTCTCACGTTGGGTAGCACCTTTGCTGTTTGCGTTACACAGAGCTCACTGACTTGTCAGTTTGAGCACTCTGGCAAGGTACGTTCGAGCCCGGGATTTTTTCATTGCTATCAGGTTCTGCCTCATTTTCTCTGTGCTGCGCTTACGATTCCACAAATGACGACGCAGTTCTGCCCGCAGATTGAGTGGTTTAAATTGATTTATGTACGTGCTGTTCAGGATGAATTGGAGGAAGAGGAGCGGTCATCCTCCGGACCCGGTCCACACGATTCCGAGACAGGCCAAGAGGTACTTTTTAAAGAGGGATTGATTAATCCGGTCCTATGTTTGCAGCATGATGTTATCAGATTCACGCATTTTAGACTGTCCGGAGTGTTACCTCCACAGTCAATGCCGGCCACATACAGACGCCACACAATGAGACTGTCAGGAGAGTCTACTCAACACAGTGTGCTTGCCTGCTTCCAGGTTCCCTCTTGGGTTCTGATGCCAGCACTGCTCTGAAAATGTTATAGGTTTGGCACCCACATGGTAAGAAAGGTGTGCCGGTTGGTAGCTGTTATGACAGCTGTATTCTTAGAAAGAACGATGAGTTTTGACAGATCGCTGCCTGATTCGGCAAACTAGCTAACCGGCTTTTCTTGCCAGTTATCCCAAGTTTTTACACGTATAGCCTCTAGTGATAGCGGTTTATCTATGCACTTTGGATTGGATCAAATGCATGCTTAAGAATATATTTAGCTTGTCCGCGCTGTACGGCCACCTGCGATACCGAACGCAACATGTACCAGCTTGATAACAGTGAGATCTGAAGACAAACGGCATGCACTAATGATATGGATACAAATGACTGTGTGCATAAAAAATATATAAATAATGGTCTCACGGATAGGACTCTGTCCCTTACTCTGTTCTCGCAGCACTTCTATCGAGCTCGTTACTTTGGCGACGTGCTCCAGGGCGAACCTAGTAGTGATGATGGAGAAGAAGATGCTGAAGACGAGCATCGAACATAGTGACACTGAGGTGAGCTGCTTGATTCCTGCTTGTGTGCACTGCATTACTGAAATGATATAATCGCCGTGACAGCAACCCTTTCAAGCTGCACACTAAGAGTTTCATGCACTCTTTGTGTAACTTCTGTACCTAGTGAAGTTGGTTGTTCCAACTTCATGACTAATACCGCTGAAGTTGCAACTTCTAACTTCCGTACCTCGGTTCAAAAAAAAGTTGTTTCCGAAAGAAGTAGCATGAACATTTGCCTAACCGCCTGTGTGCGTGCGAAGGGTTGTCTATGATATTTCTTTAATTCTATTGTGCTTTGTGTTCATTTACAAGGGCACGGCATGAATTGAGACTATCAAAAACAAAGGACCAAATTTCAGGATGAGGAGCAGTTGAGATGCCACCGGTAAAGATACCTATGACTAACGGGTAAAGATGAATGCCACACTGCCGGTGAAGATGACTATGACAGAAGTAATATGTACATAACAATAGTCTATTCAGAAGCCATTTAGCTGCTGGGATCTTCAAGCACATTTTAAGCCGGATTAAGCCAAAATTGGTTTTGGACCTGGATACCTGTACATGTATTGATGCTACAGTCGGCTGTCTTTAATCCAGCACTTTATAAACCAGCACCCTCTATAAAGCAGCATCATTTTCAGTTGCCAAAATGTCCTTTTCATGCGCACTGCGGCAGTAAATCAGATCAAGTTTCTAATCCAGCACTCTCCCTAATCCAGCAGAATTTCCCTAGCGCATATGGTGCCGGGTTAAAGAGGGACCGCTGTATATCTGGCTGAAATAGGCAAAATGGGCTAAACAAGTGAGGTTGTTGTTGTCTACATTTGGAAGGATAGACCTGAGCAATATACTAATTTTTTTAATAATAGAGCACTACACACTGGATTGCCGAGTGCAACACTGCGGAAAAGGTTCATCCCCCGACCCGTATATGGTCAAAGCAAGACGACTGCCTTTTTGTGAATCTGTGGACTGTAATATACTATTGTCTCTATCTGATTTGCATGTGACATGTCAGTAGAAATTTCACATTTCGTGCGAAAATGATCGTTTCTTTAGAAATGATGTGTGCTTCACTCTTCTAAAAAATGTTGATCAGTACATGTTGCGAGACTGAGTTGTGTTTATGGTGTGGGAATTGGACGGTCGGTGTGTTGTGATGACCAAAAGCTGCCTCCCTTATCATCCGGGCCCGGTTGGCAGCATGCATGCAACCAAGAGTACATGACCAGCGGAGTGTGCAGGTGCGCATTGGGCTGTGTAACAACAACAGAGTGCATGACCACCGCCGGAGTGTGCAAGTGCCACCCCGCATTGGGCTGTGTGACAACCAAGCCCACAACAGTGCCGCATCATACCAGGGTGTGCACTGGCACTGAAGACTGTGATGCGGTTCTAGGTTGCGCAACTTCACAATCAGTTCCGGAATGCCTTGTGTGTGTGTGTGTGTGTGTGTGTGTGTGTGTGTGTGTGTGTGTGTGTGTGTGTGTGTGTGTGTGTGTGTGTGTGTGTGTGTGTGTGTGTGTCACACTCACCTCTGCCTACTGCCATTTCCTGCTAACATAAGAAGTTGAGATTCCGTTATGAGAAACCTCCATGTAGCAAAAATCAGAAAAACGGCACGCTCCAGTTGTGTACTCAAGCTGTAACCGAGGGGGAGGTGTATGGAAAGCTGGTGGTATATGTTATGGGAATATACCAATTTGACTGAGCTGTTCTTTGCAAAAGGAGCACAACGCCAGCATTTAACCTACTCCTGATCATACACAGCTGTAAATTGCTCACACATCATATTCATTTTGGGCAATGCATAATGGGTATAGTTCAATTATTTAGAGGCGCTAGAATGCCACTGAAAGGCACTGTCGGTGGAATTTTGCCATTTGGGCCAAGCAGTTTTGAGAGTTGCGGTAATATATCCAAGAATTCTTTTGCCGTTTCCTTATTGTCCTTCCTTGAAGAAGTGTTGAATTTCCTCAAGCCACAAACTAGCTGCTCGCAGGACATACAGGTATATATGTAGCTGGCAGAACTTACTGACTAGCACAATAGTCTGTATGCTGGTTATGTTGTCAATAGACAAGTCCCACAGTACACATAGTTAACCAATGAAAAATGGCAACTGTCCAACAATGATGTCCTCTATACACACACCATGTGTTGCCCCCCCCCCCCCCTGGATTCCTCAGAGCAACGCAGTGGTTACCTTGGTAAAGTCTCGTTTTCGATAGGCAAGCAGAGTGTGTCAAGGTTTAATGGGAGGGAAGGTATGCCTGACTTACGGAATGGGTTGACTTAGTAAGTATTGTTGTTCCTCCATCGATCGCGTGGTTGGCTAGCCGTGCAAATGGATCAGGACCTTTACCCAGGGCACGACGTGCAATGAATGCCGTGATGCATTCTTTTTATTTCTCACTGTGGCTAATAAGGCCATTGCTGATTCTCTGTCCCTGCGTCTGCCAGAAACACTACAGATAGCCATGCTTTTAGAAGCACGAACTCTCAAGCACTCTTGATCTTTCATACTTAAGATTTCAGTATAAACAGCACAGAAAGAACATACAAACAAAAGGCAAGCTCACCAGGTCAATCAGCAGCCAACACGGTCCAAATTCGGGAAAAATCTATTTGTTTACAGCCTTTGAAGTGGACAGTGTTCAAACATGTATAGAATCCCTGGTGTTCATCGAGCATGAAGGGGCATTTTTAAAATAAATGTATTCATATCACACAACTAATTCACGAGTGGTGGTAAATTATGTGCACACTAGCTTGTTCGTATAGGACTGATACAAATAGACAATGGCAAAGGCCAACGGTAAAACTTTGCACTTTGCAGATTGTGTATTCAATATAATTATCATCCAAGCAATCTCTGTCACTCATACTATAGAAACTTTTCCCAGGCTTTGTGCATCATAAATTATATCCAGCAAAGGAAAGTATACAGCCATTAGCAAGTGATCTAGAAGGTTACAAATGTGAACTTTTCTGTTTCCAGAACCTAACTAGATATTCCTGAGACTTACTTGGCTACTACTAGAAAAGCTATTGAAATTTTGTATCAACTAGAGATTCATAAGATTGAGGGAGTTGAATTAATTAAAGTAAGTGGACATTGGTCGTTATCTGATATATGGAAGCTTCATGTGAGACTCAATGTGTGGACTTGATGCTGGACTGAATTTGTATAAGCTAGTAGATCAGGGTTTCTGTATAGTTGTAAAAGCTACTCAAGTGTGCATGTACAATTACAATACTGTACTGTTTTCATGTCCGTCATGCTACCATGCCTGGCTGCTAGTTACCTGGCCGAGAGAATCAGGCCTAAACTGCATCATGTTATGGGGGATTAGGCTGCGACGGTGGCAGCAGAAGCACAATGGGTTGCTGTTGCTGTTGATGCTGATGCTGTGGTTGCTGCTGCTGTTGCTGTTGTTGTGTCGGCGACATAGCACTGTGTGCAGCAAACGGCACAGCGCCTAGCTGTAGGTGCTGCAGCTGGTTAGCGGCACTCAAGCTAGTGGCTGTGCCGCCAGTTGTGGCTATTACCGGCATATTGCCCTGTCTTGCTGGTACCATGGCAAGATACTGTGGCTTGGCCAGTGCCTGCAGCTGCACTTCGTCTTTTCCGCCGGCGGCTTGCATCGGCTGACCGGCAGGTGCTGGCATGTACGCCGTCTGCGAATCTCCCATCACGAACGAACGCTGTATGTGCGGCATGGACTGATAGTGGGCTGGCTGAGTCTCACCATCAGGTCTGTATATGCACGGTGCACTTCTCATCAGCCGATTGCTGTCCAGCTGATGGTGTCTGTACTGCTGGAGTTGTTGTAGTCTTGGCTGCTCCTTGCCTGCCGCAAATGAGAACAACCGAGAACAAGATACTCTTATTATTGTGGTGAGTAGATAATACGGCAAGGGTGTTTTGTGTGTGTGTGGGTGGGGGGGGGGGGGGGGGGGGGGTTAATCAGAAACGAGAAAGGGCAAAGAGAAATAGCCACACACCTGGTAGGGAGCACTGAATTTCAACTCCACTGATATCTATACAGCTCCGTATGAAGATATCCAAGAAGAAGATTGCCTGATGAGTCCAGCGGGGACGAAACGTACGTCGCAATCGAGCTATGTCGTTGCTGTGTCATCATCTATGCGCCATGCGCTACTTGATGTAGCAGCCTGCTATGCCGGATACCGCCAGCCATGCATCGACCAGGCGCCAGGCGCGAACTGATGGTGGTGGTGGTGAGAAGGAGAGCTCTGTGCCAGAACTTTGCAGCCTAGAGAGCGTGTGTGGGCAGGCGTGTGTTTACCGCCATGTTGCCAGGTGTGTCTTTACCACCATATTTATCAACCATAAGTACAGCTGCAGTGGTGTCTTCAACTTCATTCTCCCGAGTCAAGCTCCGTATGAAGATATCCAAGAAGAAGATTGCCTGATGAGTCCAGCGGGGACGAAACGTACGTCGCAATCGAGCTATGTCGTTGCTGTGTCATCATCTATGCGCCATGCGCTACTTGATGTAGCAGCCTGCTATGCCGGATACCGCCAGCCATGCATCGACCAGGCGCCAGGCGCGAACTGATGGTGGTGGTGGTGAGAAGGAGAGCTCTGTGCCAGAACTTTGCAGCCTAGAGAGCGTGTGTGGGCAGGCGTGTGTTTACCGCCATGTTGCCAGGTGTGTCTTTACCACCATATTTATCAACCATAAGTACAGCTGCAGTGGTGTCTTCTGTAGTGGATGCACATCCCACTGTTTGTCATTGTGTCCTTTTATGTAACATGTATGCATTCATCCGGCCGCGCTGTGCGACATGCCAGTTGTACCGTACGCACTTTAGCTGTACTTGCCTGCCTGGCTTTTCCTTTGATCTCTCTGTCGTTCTCTGTATTCCCACACACTTGTGATTTGTAGTAACGAAGCTAGTTACAAGATGTCTTTGGTGCGTTTGTAGAACCACTACATGGTGTCAGAATTGGTTTTCCTGTAGTCTTTGGCCTCGTGAGCGGTGATGGCTCGTTTCAACCCTCCAGCGCCTTTCGACTTCAGCTCACCGGACCAGTGGCCCGCGTGGAAACTCCGTTTCACCCGTTTTCGTGCCGCCACCAAACTGAGCTCCGACCCGGGAGAAACTCAGGTGGCCACTTTGTTGTATGCTCTCGGACCCAACGCCGACTCCTTGTTCGAGTACCAACTCGGACTATCCGAGGACGACAAGAAGAAATATGACGAGGTCGTCAGTGCTTTCGACACGTACTTCCGCCCCTCTACCAATGTTGTTCATGAACGGGCTAAATTTGAACAGCTTGTACAACAACCCGGCCAGACCGTAGAGGAGTTTGTCCGTGCTCTGTACAAAGCCGCAGAGTATTGTGAGTTTGCTGGCACGAAGGATGAGCGTATCAGAGACCGCTTCGTCGCCCACATGCTGGACAAGCGGGTGAGTCGGGAGCTGCAGATGAAAGACAAGAGCGAGCAAACTCTCGCCAAAGTTGTTGCGTTCGCACGGCACGCCGAAACTGTCCAGCAACAGGTTGCAGCCCAATCGCGCAGTGGCTTGGCCGCCGCCAGCTCGATTTCAGACGATGATGCCTCAGCCTCAGCTGTCCAGTCGCACCGTGGTGGTCGATCTATGCCGAAGAGCAGACCGCATGGTAGCTACAAATCTGCAGCAACGCCGCCTGCGACCGAATCGAAGTGCCCGAACTGTGGTGGAAGCCACCACTCGCAACGCGATCAGTGCCCAGCCAGAGGCCAGTGCTGCAAAGCCTGTGGCAAGCGCAACCACTTCGCGCGAGTTTGCCGATCGAAACCGTCCACCTCTGCCGTCACGAACGACTCTCCGGACTCTCTATTTGTTGGCCACACGACGTGCGCACAAAGTGTAAGTGATTCACCCTGGTTGGCAGATCTAGCTATCGGAAAGAGTGTAGTCCAGTTCAAGCTAGATACTGGAGCTGATGTCTCTACCATGTCCGTGCAATCATACAATACACTGCAGCCCAAGCCGTCCTTATCTGCTACTAGTGCCCAGCTGAGAGGAGCGAATGACCAGACTATGCAGGTCCTGGGTGTATTTGAGGCTCACTGCTCCTTTCAATCTCAGTCCACTACCATACCCATCTTTGTTCTAGATGGTGCCAGCACTAGCCTGCTCAGCCGATCTGCGTGCACAGCACTGGGTCTAGTCCAGCGTCTGGCTGAAGTGCAAGGTCCAGTCCCACTCGTACAGTGTATGGTTGGTCCTGCTGCGCAGATTCACTTGACTTCCGACGCCACACCGTATCACTGCCTCACAGCTCGCAGAGTTCCTCATCACCTGTATTCGAAAGTACGTGAAGAACTGCACCGCATGGAAGATGGCGACATCATTGCGCGTGTCGACGAACCCACAGACTGGTGTTCGCCTATGGTGCCCGTCCTCAAACCTAACGGCAAGGTACGCATCTGTGTCGACCTGAAGCGTCTTAATGCGTCTGTCAAGCGGGAGACATTTCAGCTGCCAACGTTAGAAGATGCCCTGTCTTCACTGGCCGGAGCGACTGTGTTCACGACATTGGACACTGCTAACGGATTCTGGCAAGTCCCACTCAGTCCCGACTCTGCCCGTTTGACCACCTTCATCACGCCGTTCGGCAGGTTCTACTTCAAGCGACTGCCATTCGGCATCACATCAGCACCTGAGATTTTCCAGAAGCGTCTCACCAACCTTCTGGACCAGCTCCCCGGCGTGTTCGTCTACATGGACGATATCATTGTCTCTGGCCGTACGCGAGAAGAACACGACCGTAACCTAGCTGCCGTACTAGACATCCTGCAGAAAGCCAACGTCACGCTGAACATGACGAAATGTCACAAGCGTCAGGCCGAAGTGAAGTTCCTTGGTCACATCTTCTCCGCCAAAGGTCTCCACCCTGACCCAGCGAGAGTGTCCAGCGTCGCTAATCTGAAGCCGCCCAAGAACGTCACGGAACTGAAGCGCATTCTCGGCATGTTCGCGTTCATGTCACGCTTCATTCCCAATCTCTCGGAAGTCAGCGCTCCACTGCGTCTTCTACTGGGGCATGACACCGCATGGGAGTGGTCTGCTACACAACAACAGGCCCTGGACAAGCTCAAACAGCTTGCCACCAATGCGCCCTGCCTCACGTTCTTCGACCCAACCAAGCCCACGGTCATCAGCGCTGATGCCAGCAGTTACGGCTTGGGAGCTGTCCTATTGCAGGAGCATGACGACGGAATGCGCCCCATTGCATTTGCCTCACGCAGCCTCACCACTACTGAGCAACAGTACGCGCAGATCGAGAAGGAGTGCTTGGCTGTTGTCTGGGCTTGTGAGCGATTCCACGGCTACATTTACGGCAACTCGTCCCTCACTGTCCAGACGGATCACAAACCACTCATCCCGCTGATCAATACGCGTGATTTGAACCGTGTCCCGATGCGATGTCAACGCCTCCTGATGCGCCTGCTCACGTACAATCCAGCCGCCGTGTATGTCCCTGGCAAAGAGCTAGTTGTTGCCGATGCTCTGTCTCGCGCTCCGCTCGCCTGTGACGACACGCCTAGTCTCCAAGACGAGATCAGCATCAACCTCGCATCTTACATCGGCGAGATCGTGTCGGATGGTAAAGCCCGTGACATTGCTGACGCCACCACACAAGATGAGACGCTCAAGCAAGTCCTCCACTTCGTCCAACACGGATGGCCGTGCAACCCACGTGATGTCGACGACACTGTGCGCCCATACTTCCATGAACGCCAGTTACTGTCCTGTGAGCAAGGTGTGCTGTACCATGGCTTCCGCATTGTCATGCCACCCTCTCTGCAGCCTGAGATGCTCGAGAAGCTCCACGAGGGACATCAAGGTGCAACGAAGTGCAAGTCTCGCGCCCGCCATTCCATTTGGTGGCCAGGCTTGTCAAGGCAAATCGACACGATGGTCGCTACGTGTGAAGTGTGCACCAAACACCGCGTCCAGTCGACCGAACCACTGCAACCCGTCCAACGCCCAACACTGCCGTGGCACACGGTTGGTGCAGATCTGATGGAATTCAACGGCACGACTTACCTCGTCATTGTTGACTATCTCTCGCGTTACCTCGATGTCGTACCGCTGACTGCCACAACCTCGATTGCTGTCATCAAGCATCTGCACCGCATCTGTGCCGAGCATGGTTTCCCGTCCACCTTGGTTACAGATAACGGTCCTCAGTTTGCCAGCGAAGCGTTTACTGAGTTCTGCACAGCAAACGACATCACCCATCGCACTTCCAGTCCACGGTATCCTCAGTCGAATGGCGAAGCGGAACGTGCAGTTCGCACCGCCAAGAATCTCCTGCGGAAGGCCGAAAGCCTGCAAGATGCACTCTTGGCTTACCGCACGACACCGCTGAGCAACGGCTATGCCCCATGTCAGCTGTTGTATGGCCGCCAGCTCCGTACCGGTCTACCTGCAACGACTGAACAGCTGGAACCGAAATGGCCTGATCTCCCTAGTATTCTGGAATCGGAAAATCAGTCCCAGGAACAGCAGAAGTTGCACTACGACCAACGGCATGCAGCTAAGCCTCTCGCGACTCTACAGCTTCATGACCGTGTATTCATCACCGATCTCGAACGGGAGGGCAAGATAGTAGAGCAAGTGTCCAATCGTTCTTACCTCGTTGAGTCTGGTCACTCTACTGTTCGCCGCAATCGTCGTCACTTGATCCGACTGCCACTGCTAGAAGCAGAGAAGCCGACAGTCGAGGTTGAGTACGGTGGCACAGCAGCTGATCCAGTCCGTCGCTCTGCTAGAGCTCCTCAGCCTGTCAACCGCCTCATTGAATCATGCTAATTCAGCAACGTGCCGAGACGTATCTGCCGTCGTCTCTGCACATCACTCTTTCACTGCAACTTGCTCTACAAGCAATACCTACATTATCGAATAGTCTTTGGACTCCTCATCTTCTCTATTATAGCCTGTTTAATCTCAGAGGGGAGATGTAGTGGATGCACATCCCACTGTTTGTCATTGTGTCCTTTTATGTAACATGTATGCATTCATCCGGCCGCGCTGTGCGACATGCCAGTTGTACCGTACGCACTTTAGCTGTACTTGCCTGCCTGGCTTTTCCTTTGATCTCTCTGTCGTTCTCTGTATTCCCACACACTTGTGATTTGTAGTAACGAAGCTAGTTACAAGATGTCTTTGGTGCGTTTGTAGAACCACTACATCTTCAACTTCATTCTCCCGATATCTATACAGTTATGTATATGATGTATTGAGGCCAAGTGGCATGCATGATGCATCATATGCATCAGCATGGTTTCCTCAGTTCTTTTTTTGTTGTGTGATCCTTTGTTCTGGGGCATTGTGAGCAAGGAAGTGAATACTATATAGAGGCATGTACTGAAAGAGCTATCTAGTTTTGGCAGCCTGGCGTTATCAACTGGTCATGGCGTACTTGTCAAACGCTGTGGCACCCTACCCAGTCTACCCTGCCTCTAGTGGCTCTACCGTGCTCTGTGCATCTGCGTCCAATTCTGTGTAGGTGTCACAGTGTGGTTGGTCCTGTCTGTAGCAGGAGGAAGCTAATCTAATATGATAGTGTGTTCAATGCTGTTCAGAAATCAAGTGCTGTGTCGTGTCCTAACCTGGTGGTGATCTGCGTCTCCATTCGCGCGGCTGTGGCGCTGGTCTCAATGTCACCTGACCACCATGTCCATTGGATAGGTCTCCGCCACTGCCGGCCAAGTCGGACACGTTATCCGCACTGCTCCGATACAGCTGATCATTACTGCTGGTAGAGCCACTGGACTGAGGTCTGCAGAATGTCTGGTATGGCAGTCCAAAGCCGCCGGCAACGAAGGTACTGCGTGCCTCGGGTATTTCCTCAGTGCTTGTCATGGTGGTACTGGAACTGAGGTCGCTGCTGCTCGACAAACTGCCCTTGCGCACCTTCTTCAGCTGAGCAGCGGTGGCGTTCTGAAGGCTTATGCTGCCTTCAAGATCATCCGGGTTCACGTCGTCACCTTCGCTGATCATCATATCTCCATCGGTGTCATCTTGGTCTAGCAGCTCATTGTCCTTTCCTCGCCTTGGCAAGGGTAGTTGAATAGGAGGCAGGTTGTTCTTGGCTCGCTCCTTGTTCACTTCATCTTTCAAACCAGGCCATACCCGCCGGCGGGCATTGATAAACCTAAAAAACAGCCCAAGAAAACCAGAGGAAAGTCAGGGAAAACTCAGTGGAATGTCCACTCCAATCATCATTCAATTTAGGAATGCATGAAATTCCCTCATAGTATACTTTGCCACCGGTTTTGTTGCTCAGGCCTAAACTTTCTATACGTGCGTGGGTCCAGCAACGAAGCTGATCCGTTCCATACCATGGCATGTCAACATTGCAGCTTCTGCCAATTTGCTGTGCAAACCGCAGCACAGGACTGTTGTGTTCGGCCCGCAAGCCACGCAGGAGTCCATCAGTGTAGGACAAGACAAGGACTGATTTATTTACATCGAGCATGCGCTTTTACGATGCAGATGTGTGTGTGTGTGTTTGTGTGTGTGTGTGTGTGTGTGTGTGTGTGTGAGAGAGAGAGAGAGAGAGAGAGAGAGAGAGAGAGAGAGAGAGAGAGAGAGAGAGAGAGAGACAGAGATAGACAGAGACAGAGATAGACAGAGACAGAGATAGACAGAGACAGAGATAGACAGAGACAGAGATAGACAGAGACAGAGACAGAGAGACAGAGAGAGACAGGCAGACAGATAGTACGGAGAGCGACAATGCTGCGACACTCCCTATACACCAGAATGACCAAGCCGGTGACGTACCAGTAGTTGAGTTGTATGAGCGTCAGCTTTGTTTCCTTGCACAGCTGATCTTTCTGCTCCTCGTCAGGGAACGGGTTCTGCATCATATCAACACCAATAGCCACAACACATACATCCGAAAATGAGCTCCACTGGTAACTGCATTGCTGTTCGGACTTCCTGTGACGTTATCATGACTGTTTCATCAGCAATCTATTATTCTAATTTTGCAAGAACAACGTCAATGACGCATTTCAACGCATGTCCAGCACAGCTTGAAGTTGACTGAGAAACTTTGGAGAGAACCCGCCATCCTGTAGGAGAATTTCTCGTCATATTCCCAGCAATTCCCTTTGATCAAAAGGTAGCCGTTTGACTTTCCAGACGGAGTTCAATTTCGGGCAAGAGAGCTGAGTTTGACAGCTCAATGTTTGCATACATGGTCCCTATCAAGGGTGACCTTTGCCTTCGCTGTGAAAAGCTTGTTCAGGTTTCCCAGTCCGAAAGATGTTGGGTGATTAATTAAAGGAGAAGTTATGCCTAAAATCAAACTTTCACCATTTGTAGTCTTCGGGGTGCTGAGCCGAATGGTCTTGGTCCTAGGAAGCTGAGACGCTCCCTTGCTTCTTTATTCCCAATCGAACTCGCGCACTTCCACCGAAACTGGGTGACTGCACCCTACTAGATGGGGATTTGTATGCAAAATGTCACTAAAAACGCCGAGGAAGCTGAGACGCTCCCTTCCTTCTTTCTACTAGATGGGGATTTGTATGCAAAATGTCACTAAAAGCGCCTTGTCGTTCTTATAAAAGCACGGATGATAGCGATTGGCCCATATGTTGTAGTCTTTTGGACGCTGAGTCGACTGGTTTTTGATCCGAAAAAGGCTGCGTTCGGCCCTTATTCCCAATCGAACATGGTTGAACAAGCGGTCACGTGCTCCTGCGTACACCAGTCACCTGGTGACCGTGCCTGCAGGCTACAACTTATAGCTTGTTTGGGCGAGTTTCTGTCACTCGAGTTGAACCTTGAGTTGAACCATGGTGTGAAAGTTGTCGCCTGCTGGCACGGTGACCAGGTAACCGGTCTACGCAGGAGCACGTGACCGCTTGTTCAACCATGTTCGATTGGGAATAACGTCCGAACGCTGCATGGCAGCCTTTTCGGACCACAACCAATCGACTCAGCGTCCAAAAGACTAGAACATATTGGCAAATTGCGGTCATCCGTGCTTTTATTTAAGAACGAAATGGAGCTTTTAGTGACATTTTGCATACAAACCCCCATCTAGTAGGGCGCAGTCACCCAGTTTCGGTGGAAGTGCGCTAGTTCGATTGGGACTAAAGGAGGAAGGGAGAGTCTAAGCTTCCTCGGACCAAGACCATTCTAGAACCAGTACATGTACTTGAAGTTAGTTAGTTTGAGGGAGATGAAACTGAGCTACTCGAAGTTTTACTTATTATTGTTTACCTCAATGTTGTCCTTGAGCCATTGTCGGAGTTTGCTGGTGACATGCTTAGGAAAGACTGTGCGCTTCTTCAGGTATGGCACGCCGGTTTGCGGTGACCCTGCAGCTGACGATGGCCCATAGATCATGCTATTTCCATACGGCTGCCTTGCCGCCAGGTACGTGGCTGGATAGCATTGCGACGGTATGCTGATATGACGCATTTGCTGCCGACCCGACGTTTGCAGTGCGAACGGGTGCGGGTTGGGTGGTAGTTGAACAAACCCAGGGTTGACCGGTCCTGACTGACCACCTGTAGAGCAATACACAAAGAAAATGAATGATATTGAACTTTGAAGTCAAAGGAATTTAGGGGCAGTGACTGTGACAAGAATGTGCGCCCACGACGGACTAAAATGGTTCCTTCCACAATGGTTTGTCCACGTCTGCTTTTATTTTTCCGTACCAAATTTGCTCTGGTCTACGTCTCTATCGTGGCCACAATCAAACCATCACTGGCTCAGTAGTATACGTCCCTATGAGAACCCTATCTCTCTTTGAAGACATTTTGATCGGTTTACAGCCGCACGGCATCCCATCAAAAGCTGCGACAAAGGCCAGGCAACTAAACTAGTCTTGTACATGGTTGTACTTGACTCCGCTAGCAGTGACACCATCACCTGATCACTGTAGACCGTACCTACAAGTGTACTGATTCTGTCGTGCATGGAGCACAGAGTCCAGAGGTCATTGCCAGGGGTATTGGTATATCTACGGGTGGATTAGTTCCAACCAAAATTCTTCTGATTTTCTTTGGGTCCGGGCCGATAATTATTTAGCCTAAGGCTGTTTTAGCTGTTACTAGTGTGAGGGTTTCGACTTTGGAGTGCGACAGGCGTACAACTACAAGTACTTCACCTTCCACATGGCCAGTAATACGCACATGTAACTGACATAGTTTACAACTGCCGGACGGGGTATTCTGCATGCTCATCACTACAAATGCCAATGGCTGGCGTCATCGTTATGCAGTCAATCTCGCGAATAATACCCTCGAATACAACGACAACCCGTGAATAACAATCTCGGATATAACAACAATTCAGACAAAGCAACCACTACACTGCACACTTTACCCTCGCGAATAACAACCCTTTTCTCATCGCCGATCGATGGTAGTTATTCGCCAGGTTGCCTGTAATGCGGTTTCTCGTTGCTTGACGTAGTCGTCACTACATTCGAACCCTACATGTAGTAAGGTATTTAATTGTCCCTGCTCTTGCTTCGTTTCCGTCGTAATTTTGTAGGTAGGGTTGTGTGTGACGTGAAAAGTAACGGAGGCATCTTTGCCACTTTGCCCGACATACCGACTCCAAGAAACCTGAGGTACACTGGTTTGCGGCCCCGCGCGGGTACCGGGTGTACGTTCAACCTTACCACGAGGCAAGACTAGGCAAAGGCAATTGCAGATGCGCGTCGGGATGCGCTTTTATCTGTTTACCGACATGTCCCTGTCAACAGCCTCTGGTACCTGCATACTTCACTAGATCCGTACCCTAGCTGTATGTGTCATCGACGTGTCCGCGTGCCTTGGCCAATGCCGCCGAAAGCTTTTATTGCGTTGAAGTCGATCCGAGCCGTTGATAACTTATGGCGTGTTGTTTAGGAGATCCTGATGGGCTGTATACGGTTCATGAGTGGGAAATAAAGTGGTAATGCTACAATTGGTCACTGCTGCTCCTACTTTTAGTCGTTTATTTTTAAAAGAGCGGTGATAGGAGCTTGTGAATGTGATCATAGTCACCACCGTCTCTCGCCTGAAGTAGCTACGCAGTGACTAGCTTGGCACGGGTCCGCGCTGCAGTATGTATAATGTAGTGTGGCATATTACGACATATAAACGATGGCGTACACATTATGTTGCAGCAATTCAGTTGGCCATCGACCAAGCGACTCGACAACAACATGCAGTCTGCGGAAGATCGTCTGCACACGCACTCATTGTACTTGTAGTGGTAAGAAGGCACGTCCTGGTCCTACAAGTACCATGCAGACTTTGTACTTTGTAGTGGCCAAAAGGCAAAAAGGCCCGGGCCCCTTCTCCGCTCGCGTGCCTTTCACCAGCGTGGGCTGGGTCGGGTGTGCCTGTGCCCGATCGTCCAGCTTTGGCCAGTGTTTCCGTCGGGGTGGAAAAAGGACGTAGTGTCGAGTCGGGCCAGCTGAAAGGTTGGCTAGAACGTCTATACAGTCATTGGCTAGAACGTCTATACATTGGCTAGAACGTCTATACATCCTGGACGTGGTCTTGTAGAGGTAATTCAACAACTCCTGACACCTTGTCGCCCGCTGACAGTAGGCCGAGGAAAAGCCGAGGGAGAAAACTAGACTGGCATCCATTCTTAATCTGCGCCATGTAGACATGACGGTATCGATGAGGCTGTGATCAGTGTCTTCCTGATGCCTGGCACTGGGGTTATATGCCATTATGGGCATGTTCACCGCAATGAAGCCAGTAGCAGTAGGATGTAGTATCCTGCTAACTGAGTACTGTGTTCAACATCATGTTCAGTCATGTACTGTCTTGATCACAATCCGATGCCAATGCCTGCCTGGTCAATACCAATACTATAGCATGAGTAGATTATGCAACAACATGGCTGTATATCCAGGCCGGGGAAAGGCTTTTGCCCAGCACTCAGTGTACGCATACACGTGTATCTCTGGCACCTAGTAGATCTACGTACCTGCTGGAACTGGTTGTGTAGGTCCGGCCACGGTGAATACCACATTTGGCAGTGACGGCACAGAGCTATGCCGGCTCGGGTACATGTCGGATGGTTAGTGCCTAGTGGCGACCAGCGCGCTGTCCGGGAAAGAGTGCGTGTGAGCGGTGGACTCTGCTGCGTCCTTGGAGCCGTGTCACCCACTGTGCCTGCTCAGCCCAGTATCCTGCCGAGCGATGGGTGATGGTGACAGCCTTCAGTGACGCCGCCGTGTTGTAGGGATAAGATACACTGTGCGGCATACACACAGGACAGACAATGAAGCAGATCAAGGACAATATTTACAAACGTTGAAACAAATCACCAAGCAAGCTCAAGATGTATTGCCATGTGTGCCATGCAGCATGCTTGGCACATACAAAGTAACTTACACCATGGGTATTTTTTGTGCTCAACTCACACAACGTTACACCATGGGTATATTGTGTGCTCAACTCATTCCTGTTTGCGTTATGCAGAGCTCACTGACTTGTCAGTTTTAGCACTCTGGCAAGGTACGTTCGGGCTTGGTCTAAATCTGGCCCGCTTTGGAAAATTGATTTTTCATTGCTATCAGGTTCTGCCTCATATTCTCTGTGCTGCGCTGATGAGTCCACAAAGGACGAAACAGTGCTGTCCGCAGATTGAGACAGTTACTCCATGGGTATCATGTGTGCTCAACTCACACAAAGTTACACCATGGCCTGGGTATTTGTGTGCTCAACGCACACAAAGTTACCCCATAGGTATTTTTTTGCGCTCAACTCACACAAAGTTACCCCATGGGTATTTTGTGTGTTCAACTCACACAAAGTTACCCCATGGGTATTTTGTGTGCTCAACGCACACAAAGTTACCCCATGGGTATTTTGTTGTGCTCAACTCACACAAAGTTACCCCATGGGTATTCTGCCCAGCTCATACAGAGATACCCCATTGTTACGATGTGTGTTTAGCCCACATGAATTTTCCAGAACGTTAGTGATGATGTGGACTCAGCTCGGTCATACAGGCTAGTTGCTACCGTGATGTATTTACAAAGGGGTGCTTTGGTCAGTAAATTGGATACGAGAGAGAATGCACCAAGGATATAGGTCAGTTCTGTTGCGATATAATTTGATACTTTGAACCTGATACAAACATCAGTCACTGAGAACGAACACCTGGAAGCTTCCGTTTTCACTTATGTGATTTCCCCAATATCAACCGTTTTGTTGATATCACCGATAGAATCAATCTCCAGATTTTCTACGCACTTGTGTGTGTGTGGGGAGGGGGGGGGGAGGAGTAGGGTGAGTACAGTGTTCAGACAAACTGTACAATCATGTACATGTAGATTTCAACATCGACGTACGTTAAGCCATGGCTTTACCTTAATTAACATTTGTGTGTGTCCTGAAGTCAACGCAATCAGAATGAATGCATGTTATTGCATTCCAGTACTACAATGATCATCATCGACCTCCTGCCCCCCCCCCCCCCCACACACACACACCTTACAACCTCGAAATCTAACCTTAATCAACACATGAACATGAACAGGAAAAATCATGTACTGACGTCTGACGTGGGCGAAGCTCTCTTCCTATTCCTGTGGGGATGTCGTTTTCCTTCTTGCTCGCTCTCCTTTTGAGAAGAATGCTCCCTTGTTCATTGGTCGCAGCACTGGTTCTGGGCCCCGCAATTAGTGCTTCTAGTTCAGCTGTCTTGATCAATTACTGCCATAGTACACATCACACATCACTCCGGCGGCTAAACTGAGACTGGTAGTATTCAGTATTATAGTAATGCGCTCCTTCTGGAAGATGACAAACCTCTCCAGTCAACTGCCAGCCACCTTCCTTGCTGTCAGCACAGAACTTCTACCGTTTGCAATCGCCAAGTAGAAGAATAGGACAACTGTTGGGTAGGAGGTCTAAACTCATCAGCTAGATCCACATAGGCGCACTCTCTTCTTTGCCTCTCTTCGCTGCACGGACTGGCACAACCCAACACTAAGTCGGAAGAAGGATATTAGCGTCCCCTGCTGCCAACTCCTCACTTTTCTCCTGTCGTGCCCGCACGTTTTGCTGCTGCTGTCAGCACCTTTCTACCTGTGAGTTGCAGAAGATAGTGTATCAACAAGCGCTCTCACTGCGGTTGCAGTTGCAATCAAAAGAAGGCACGATAAGCCGCAGAATTGTTGGAGCGATAGTACTGCGACGAGCGCTAGATGTCTGCAGGAGACCAACGGACAGAGGCAATGTTTAGCAACCTGATGCTGAGAATGTGTCCTTGCTTTCCACATCATTAATTGGAGGTGTACATGTTCTGGCCACCAGCATCAACACGTGCCTGGGTGGTAGCTAGCAGCTAGCGGCGGAGTTGCTGGTGAGGCTGGGGCGGCGGAGCTTGATGTCCCTTCCTCCGCTCTCTTGCCATGCTTGCCCGTGTCGCAGTGAAATGCCGAATCTAGCAAATGCTAAACTATCCAACGACGAAACGGTACAACCTGCCACTAGTGTACTGGAGACGCTGACAGAAATGTTGACATGCGACAGAAAGCAAGGGAAATGAGGAAGCTGACCAATGGTTGAGCGACGCTGGTGACATTCAGCTCGCCGGTGCAGAGATCTCGCACACACAATCATTGGGGCACTGCAGTAGTGGCTAGTGGCACTGCACACGCGTAGCTAGATCTACGCACGCACACAATTACAAGCACACGGTCCCTGGCTGACGAGGGGGGGGGGGGGGCATTTGACAGCGTCCTACCAGGCCGGGCAGGGGTGGACATGGAAATATCTACAACTTACAAGGACCCCGCGCCGTCTGAGGACGACGGTTCACGGCAGGCGACAGACGGCGATGACCTGTATACTGGAGCTCAACTACATTTTAGTCCTAACCTTGCTCTATCAGTATTTTGCTTTCAATTATAAGACACATCAACATCCACTGGCTCCTTTACACAGCCCCTGAGGGGATAATACGATTATTATGTTGATTATGTCATGCCATGACAGAGGGCAGATACCAATGGCAAGTAGGTAGGGACGAGGTGGGGTTGATGCTAGGCCAGGGTAGCTTGTACGCGTCATGTTACGATCAAACCCGCTTTACAATAATCATCGCCTAGTAGTAGTACCCTACCATGAATACTAGTACTCGTTGCCGCCATTCAAACCTAGTGCATGATGGAGACAAATCGAAGACACGGTGTGAAGTGTTGTATAGGTCGGAATTCGACATGATAATTTAAGGCCTGGGTTTCGCAAGTTTAGTTGGCCTGCGGGAGAATACCGCGGTTGCTTCTCAATCTCACAAGCAATGCAGTGTGTATTCGGATAGTGCTAGTAGTGTACACTCACTGGTACTAGTACATGTTGCAGGTAGGTGCATGGGTGAGCAGGACAGAGACAAACCTTGCTGGTACATGTACAGCCCATCATGTGGAACGGTTTTGTTCGCCTCGTGCAAACCAGGAAAGCAACTCACCTGCAACTCCTGCGGCCGTGTGGCAAGAAGGCCGGGTCACATTGTCACACGCTTCAGCAGCATGCTGGAGCTGGACCTTTCCCGGTGCTTACTAATCGGTACAGCGGTGACTCCGCCAAAGACACTGCTGAGAAATACCAGATGACAGCTAACGTAGCGTACTGGTTCTGCTAATGTTGTCGCTCGCAGTGATTTTATTCTCCCTTTCCAGCTCTGCCTTCCAGCATTTCCACGTGCGCACAACTAAGTTACCTAGAACATTCGGCCCACGGTACTGACTACTGACAAAGGATGGCAGCCTGATGCGATTCGGTGAGATTCCATCAACCTGTTGAGGATGCCGCCATGAGCTGAGCACTCTTTATAAGGATCATTCGCCAACCGCTGCTCGCCTCCAAGTGTACTGCTGTACGCTGTACCAATTAGCTAGCAACCAATAGGGTCTTGAGCGGCGACTGCTCTGCGCGTGCATGGACATTGACGAGAGGGCCTTATGCAACCTTGGCTGGCAAGAGAAGCAAGGTCAAGGGCAGGCGTGGTGCAATTCTAGATCTCTGGCCTTCTAGATACCTTAGCCTCAGCGTACCCAAGGCGAAATGGACAAGCAACCAGCAGAACCGCTGCACTTCACAAGGTCACAGTTCTAGTCCTGTACTCACAGCAGTACTGCCTTTACCAATTCGCCGCTGCTACTGCTGCGGCTGCTACTGCCACTGACTGCTGCTGCTGCCACTGCTGCTATCAATTCTTGGCACTCAGTACGTAGCAAGAGAACATGCCTTGCCACTACAACCAGGACTTCAAATAGCACTGCGAATAGCGTCAATGTAGCCTACTGTTGTCGCCAAGCATATGTTCGGTACACAGGGGTTTCGCCTCGGCCTTATGTCTGGCACGCATTGTATGGAGCTTGCATGGTTGTTGAAGTTCTCGATGGTGGTGTTTCAGCTCCTGGTTTTAGTCGAAGTCGTACAACAGGTAGTTCATATGCTTTACTCGTGGCAAGCAATGCTTAACATACATGACTGTATGTGCAGAGTACACGTTTACTAAACC